ACAACAGCCCTAAATTGTTATGTGGGTTGCTGTCGGTTGGGGGGAATGAAAAGAATATGCACCCCGCTTAAATCCCCCCCCCCCCCTCCTCTTCCTTTCTTTCTTTCTGCGTGCTCAACAGCACGGCAGCACAGTTTAACCATATCTCTCTTTTTTTTCTTCTATCTATTTGGCGCGCTCGTGTGTCTGTCCTTGTCTCTTCTCTCGGTCTCCCTCACAAACAAAACACAAACAAGAGGAATGCATTCACTTCAGTTTATTGAGCGCGCGCATATTCTCAATCAGGTAAGACAAACTAATTGCGCGACTCTAATTCAGGGTTACTCAATCTGCCTCAGCAGCCGGCAGACTCACTCATCTATCACGGGCTTGGCGACAGCCTCCCAGTAGCTATGTTGTTCTGCGAGGTCTGATAGGCACCTGCACTTGTGTCACTCAGTTTGTCAATTGGGTTATATTGACGAAGCAGCAACAGATACGAAGTCGCCGAGACACTTAAGCTCCTCAAAGACGACGCAGAGCAGCCAGTGGCGAGGGGGGGGGTAATCAGCGGCGAAGAGGTGATAAAACGTTTGGTGGCGTAAAAAGGTTGAAAATGAAAATTGTGGACACTGGGGGTATCGATTCCCCTACCTCCCGCATGCGAAGCGGGCGCTCTACCATTTGAGCCAAGCGCTCTCATACACAGACACAACGCACACCAATCGACGCGCTCAAAGCACACCAGCATACACTCCCACAAACACCCTACCACACCTAACGCACACTCAAACGGCCACAACCTTAACAGCTACATGCTTTGCCCGTCGTTTGTGAGGATAAGATACGATGTGCGCACCCTTATAATACGCTCCACACTCTCTCTTTTTCCTGCTATCCTCAGCATCTTCAAACGCAACGCACGTCAGCGCACCCAAAGCGTTCATCTCTCTCTCCCACTATCTCTCTCACTCTGTGTCACTCTCTCTCTCTCTCTAACTCTCACTCACACACACACACAGGTGACGCATTCACTCAGTTTCTGTGCGCGCGCATTTCTCAATCCGTAAGACAAACTACTACCGCACCCTAACTCAGGGTTACTCAATCTGCCTCAGCAGCCGCAGACTCACTCATCTGTCACGGGCTTGGCGACAGCCTCCCAGTAGCTATGTTGTTCTGCGGGGTCTGATAGGCACCTGCACTTGTGTCACTCAGGTTGTCAATTGGGTTATATTGACGAAGCAGCAACAGATACGAAGTCGCCGAGACACTTAAGCTCCTCAAAGACGACGCAGAGCAGCCGGTGGCGAGGGGGGGTAATCAACGGCGAAGAGGTAATAAAACGTTTGGTGGCGTAAAAAGGTTGAAAATGAAAATTGTGGACACTGGGGGTATCGATTCCCCTACCTCCCGCATGCGAAGGGGGCGCTCTACCATTTGAGCTAAGCGCCCTCATAGACAGACACAGCGCACACCAATCGACGCGCTCAAAGCACACCAGCATACACTCCCACAAACACCCTACCACACCTAACGCACACTCAAACGGCCACAACCTAAACCGCTACATGCTTTGCCGTCGTTTGTGAGATAGAGTCGATGTGCGCGTGCCTTTAATACGCTCCACACTCTCCCCTTTCCTGCTATCCTCAGCATCTTCAAACGCAACGCACGTCAGCGCACCCAAGCGTTCATCTCTCTCTCTCACTATCTCTCTCACTCTGTGTCACTCTCTCTCTCTCTCTCTCCCTTTCACTCACACACACACACACAGGTGACGCATTCACTCAGTTTCTGTGCGCGTGCATTTCTCAATCCGTAGGACAAACTACTACCGCACCCTAGCTCAGGGTAACTCAATCTGCCTCAGCAGCCGCAGACTCACTCACCTATCACGGGCTTGGCGGCAGCCTCCCAGTAGCTATGTTGTTCTGCGGGGTCTGATAGGCACCCGCACTTGTGTCATTCAGTTTGTCAATTGGGCTATATTGACGAAGCAGCAACAGATACGAAGTCGCCGAGACACTTAAGCTCCTCAAAGACGACGCAGAGCAGCCGGTGGCGAGAGGGGGTAATCAACGGCGAAGAGGTGATAAAACGCTTGGTGGCGTAAAAAGGTTGAAAATGAAAATTGT